CAACGCAGATGTTTGAAACATATCTATAACGACTTATCTACTTTAGTACTAGTTCTAGAAATACCATTAGTTTTATTTATCACTCATAAGTGAATTATGTTGGAAATACTTTAAAATTTAAACACTGAGTGTTCCAATCATGACTATACACCTGTCCTTCAATTACTTAAACTTGACACTCTTGCTTTAATAATAGTTAAATTATTGTTCCAACAATGTATATTAAATGTATAATCTGGGTTATAAAGGGAGAGGACCAATCCCGGGAGGTGATCAAACGGAAATTTTTGTTTATTTTTGGTTACCATAGGTTTTTGAGCTATTACAATATAATAATTAAAAAAAAAAAGAAACTATTTGCTTTACTTTTTAAATATAAATTGTAATATAATATCGAACTATAAAAATTGTGAAATGAAAATCTCTGTACTACTTATCTCTGGAACTACTTATCAGATCTTCTTGATTTTTTTTTCAAACGAAAGAGTATTTCATGGATAAGATTTATATGAAAAAAAAATGTTAGGAAAATCCACCGGTGTATAATATATTGGTTGTTATTGGTTCATCGGGCATGTTTGTTGATTTGTATTATTATCTTTTGGCAATATACATATATCTTCTATATATATAATAAAAACGAATGTATGTGTGTGTGTCCATGGCAACCATATCTGTATATATAAAACAATAAGCTGATTGACTGCTATCAACGCAAAGCTCAAACCATTGGACGGATCTGGCTGAAATTTGGCATACAGATAGCTATTATGATGTACACGTGCGCTAAGAAAGGATTTGCCAAAATTCGCATTTTAAATAGGTGCTAAACAGGGACATGAGATTCACGCGATAGAAATTGGAAATTTTATTTTAGATTCTGAGTGAAACGATGAATGTATTGATTTTACAATGATTTGTGTTTTTTATTTATTTTTTTTGTGTCTGTGTACACGATAAGTAGTCGAAATAATGCTTCGATTTTCGACTTCAGTATCTTGTTCGATTGGAAAGTGAATATCGTTGGTGCATTGGGGAGGTCAAAATTTAAAATTCCCAGTACTTTTCAAAAGCGCCAAGAAAAACAAAAGAAAAATTAAGGAAAAACAGGAATTTTTACTCAAAATTGATTTTCAGAAAATTGAATTTGGTTTTTGCTATAACTTTAAAACAAATGACCGTAGATACATGAAATTTTCAGTGGTTGTTTATATTTACATTTTCTATACACGATAACATTTTCATGTATTTTGATTTATTTTGAACTGTTTAGAGACATTTTCATTTTTCATTTTTTTTTAGTTTTTTTTCTAGAAATATCAATTAAATTTTATTTGTTGGTTGAAAAACTTGAAAATTTAATAGAAGGCTCCTAGTATATGGTTTGAAAGGCAGATGAAAAATATTAAAAATCGTTAGTCACAGTTTTTTTTTATAAGCATTTAAAGTTCAAAAATTGACAAAATATGGAAAAATCACGAAAATTATCAAATTATTTTGAGATAAGAATTCGTAAAAATTTTTCTTTTTAAATCTAAGATATGAAAATGTAATACAAGGTTCCTTATAAGATTGTCTACCTTTATCAATAAAAAAATTTCTACCGGAAAGTCAAATTAAATTTTTATGAGCGTTTGTTATTCAAATTTTTACAACATTGGATATTCACTCGATTTCTCATGTGGCGATTTCCTTTTTTGTTGTAATTCAAAAACGAATTACTGTAGATACATGAAAATTTCACTGAATGTTTATATTAGCATTTCCTATACACCATACAATTTTGAAAATATTTTGACTCTTTTTGAGCCGTTTACGGACATTTTTAGTTTTCAATTTTTTTAGTTTTTTTTTCTATAAATATCAATTAAGTTTTATCTGTTGGGCTAAAAAGTGTAAAAATTTAATACAAGGCTCCTGATATATTGTTACAATAGCAATTGAAAAATATTAAAAATACATAGGCACAATTTTTTTTTATAAGCATTTAAAGATCGCATTTTGACAAAATTTATCAAAATCTCGAAAATTATCAATCATCGTAATTAATAAATTATAAAATGTTCAGTTTTTATAGCTAAGGATTGCAAATTTAATAAAAAGATTCTCATAAATAGTTCATACTGTAGCCAAAAAATCTAAAAAATATATATGAACACAGTTATTTTTTACAGACATTTTAAGTTCGAATTTGGGATCGAATATTACATATTAAAAAACCTAGCATACCTATTTTAGTTATTTTGTTGTGAGTGTATAATACTATTCGTGGGTACTTGAAACTTCTAAAGTACACTATATTATATATTAATGATAGTATCAGGGTTTTTTATTGATGTATAACGTGTTATAAGTACCTAGTGGATATTGTGATATGATTAATTTGGAATTTATTATAGGTCAATTTTTTTTTAATACCACATATATGTATATAACATGTCTTAAACCTAGACTGACATACCTTCTTCGCTCAGAATCGTTTTTCTTATACAATGATATTTTATTTATTTATTTATTATTTACGGAATAAATCCATTTACAATATTAATATATAGTGTACAGTGTAACAAAACATATGATGAATATTTAGTTTAGTGATTACATATTATTTAAACCTAGATATACTACAAGTATAATTTACAATATATTAAATATAATTACATTTAGACTGAATTAACAGTGAACAATTAAATACATTGAAACAAAACAAAAAATACATTTTAAATAATCAAACATTAAATGCTGATTTAATACTATTTATATTACAAAAAAACAAATCTAAATTAACTGAATTTGCAATAGACATCAGTGAATTTATTGGGGAGGAAAAAGAATAATTGGTTCGTATAATTTTCAAAGTGAATAAATCGTTATTTCTAGTTAAAATAATTTTTGCTTTAAAATTTAATCTTTCTAGTATTTCTTGGCATTCAATTTTGTTATTTAATAAATTAAAAAGAAAAATGTAAGCTAGATATTTTCTACGATTTCTCAAAGTAGGTATGTTGAAAAAACCAGATACTCCCTCATAACCTGAATGTGAAAGGCGTTCTACATTACATTTGAAGGATAAAAAGCGTAAAAAAGAATTTTGAACGGTATCAAGAGTTTGATTTAGAATTAAGGAATTAGGAGACCAAATGAAAGCAGCATATTCTAGTTGAGAACGTACAATAGAAAAATAAATGTTTTTTAATGCGAAATGATTGTTAAAATTTGAACATTATCGTTTTAAGAATCCTAACTTAGAAGATGCTTTATTTTTTATTTTATTGATATGTTGTTTAAAATTCATTTTTGTGTCGAAAAATACACCTAAATCATTGAATTCAAATTTAATACCATCCATTATACAGTGACCCACTTGTAACCTACTGTACAGCAGAGCGACATCCACTTACCCACTTTTTTATTTATTTATAGTTGCCATTGGTTACAGTCTACATTAGAAATTAGCATTTATTTATTGGTTGCCATTGGTTATTCGGACAGATCAGGTACAAGCTTGCATCAAATCGAATTATTGAACATTGCCTACCAAGGTGGCTGAGTTCCACTTACCGCTACAAGTTACACCCAAAAGGAGTTCAACAATCATAATTTTTTTAAGAGTTGCGATTTTTTACGAGCAACCAAATTTGTTATATTAATCCACAGTATTATATCAAAATAAACTTGGTATAACTTTGATACTTTAGAGTTAAATCATACACTTCCGTACAAACAGCACGGGGTCCGCGATCTATCGCAGGTAGATTGCCTACCTGATAATGTACTGCTGCGATTCAGAATTTTTATTCCGGGCAACGGAAAAGACAAGATAAATTTTGAACACCATACACCGAATATTGAATAATGAATTGAACAAAGTTTGAGTCATATTGAGTTGATATATTTAACGGGTGACGAAGTGCACGGGATCAGCTAGTATATAATAAATACAAGAAGATCTGATAAGTAGTTCCAGAGTTTAGTCTGTATATCCCATGTATTTATATAGTTATATATATTATATATATATAAATTAATGTCTGCGGGTAGTTTAGATATCCGGGAAGAAGATAGGTTAATTTACTAAGGGTTAAATTTGTTTTGTTTTTCATCGGATTTTAGTACGGTTAGGTTAGGATATGATTTTGTATAAATTGATTATAATAATCCACCTTAGGCGAAATTAAGTAAAAACGATTAACTTGGTATAACTTTGATACTTAAGAGTTAAATCATACACTTACGTACAAACAGCACGGAGTCCGCGATCTATCACAGGTAGATTGCCTACCTGATAATGTACTGTTGCGAATCAGAATTTTTATTCGGGGCAACGGAAAAGTTAAGATTAATTTTGAACACCGCATACACCGAATATTAAATAACGAATTAAACAAATTTTAAGTCATATATAATTGATCCATTTAACGGGGCAACGAATCAGTTAGTAAATTGTATAAAAATTAAAATATTGAAAAAACCAAAGTATGGACACAGGTTACAGGTAATGTTCTTAGCTTGTAGTTTGACAATAGGTGAATTCACTCTAAGATTGAAAGTAAAGACCCAGCTGGGTTGGTTCTTCTATAGGTACATACATTATCTATGTTGCGCGTGGGCCAGAGAAAACAAAATCAACGTAGTGTATTATAATCAAGGTCTATAAAATGTATAATATTATATTATAAATTACATATTATTAAACCATGCATTTAACAGACAAAAAATTATTTTTATTTAAGAACAATTTAATTCGGACAAAGTGGTGGCAAATTTAAATTAATATTTACCATTCAAAATTCTGATCTTACAATAACCAAGTAAGTAGGTATATTAGCTTGTAATTTTGGATGAAGATCCGATTGAGTATATATTTATTGAAACCAACCTATTTGGTACCTACTTAACGATAGTATACAAATTACAGCAAAAACAAAAATTATAATTCACTTGATATTTTATTTGTATGATATTTTTTATTAACAATTTATGATTGAACATTTTGCTTATTACTCGTAAGTATAATATGTAATAACTTTTTCACCACCTTTGTATTTTGTACGATTAAATCGTAGTGGAAAAGGGTTATTACGTTTTTTACGTATGCGAAGTTTTTCATTCTCCATTTTCTCTTTCTTAGTAAATTCTTGAAACTCCACCGTAAAGGTATCATCTTGAGTTGGATTTTCCATTTTAATTTTGTCCATAAAAATGTTATAAAGCATATAATAATCATGCTTTTGACCCCATCCAATATACATATAGTCAGTTTGGCTGTTAACAGTTTTATTTTATACGGTTAGAATTTTCTCTTATCAAATATTATAATATTAAAAGTTACAATTATTATTAGTAAAAACTTAAAGTAAAAATTATTTAACCGTTACTTAAAAACATAACAACAACTTTACTGTAGTTTATCTAACATTTAAACAGGCTTTAGAGTATTATTTAAACACTAACCACATTTATTGCTTAAAATCTAAAGCAATAGTTAAATAGGTTTGCATTGGATCATCGCGATTATCGTTAGTATTTTAGTACCTACTTATGCAATTGAATAATTTGGTTTTCATGAACAAAAATAAATACCTCAATATTTCTAAGGGCCTAATATATTAGTTACTAGGGCCTAGTCATGGTTATCTACTAGTAGATAACCGTGGTCCTAGTTAGTCTGACTATATTGCAATTTGTTTCCTAAATGTAACAAAATAGTTGTAAATTTATACTATTTTGTCTTACTTACTATTACCTCGTATTATTAGTTATATATCTCAGGTACATACGCACAAATATTGGTTTGGCTTAGGGCTCATACCCCCATAAATAAGCTGTATCGTAACAGCTAGATCAGTCACCCCCACCTAAATAAAGATATACCCACAAATTTAATAGTTATTTAAAATATAAATATATTTAAATACACCAAATAAAGTTATTTACTTCCTTTTTGTTAGTAATTATTATCGTTATTTTATTTTATTTTTGACAATAAACGTGATATAATAAATTGTAACATTATAACTGGTTTAATAAACTATAATAATTAGTTAAATTCTTAAAAAATACACACTTATTTTAAGAAATGATTGAAATGTTGATAGTTTGTAAATATATTTTGAATACGTTTAAATGTTACATACAGATTGTAAGCAACTGCACAAGCTCCAGGCCATACATGAGATTTCATTATTGCTTGAGAGTAACGAGGATAAAACGGAGAGCAAAGAACACCTTTCCACGCTGATGTATTGTCAACAGAGATATCATTTCCTAAGTTTCCAAATAAATCACCCCTAGAATTTAATACATTTTCACCATAACTCAAATTGTCCTTTTCCTCAAATTCTTCAGCATTGCCTTCGTGTTTTTTTCGAATGGGAACTAGTAAACCCTGATTTATAGGTAACTCCATTAATGTCTATGTGAGGATTCTTATGCACCCAATAATTTACATTTTATTAACAATTTATGATTGAACATTTTGCTTATTTACTCGTAAGTATAATATGTAATAACTTTTTCACCACCTTTGTATTTTGTACGATTAAATCGTAGTGGAAAAGGGTTATTTACGTTTTTTTACGTATGCGAAGTTTTTTCATTCTCCATTTTCTCTTTCTCTTAGTAAATTCTTGAAACTCCACCGTAAAGGTATCATCTTGAGTTGGATTTTAATCATGCTTTTGACCCCATCCAATATACATATAGTCAGTGTGGGCTGTTAACGTTTTAATTTTATACGGTTTAGAATTTTCTCTTATCAAATATTATAATATTAAAAGTTACAATTATTATTAGTAAAAACTATAAGTAAATTATTTAACCGTTACTACTTAAAAACATAACAACAACTTTACTGTAGTTTATCTAACATTTAAACAGGCTTTAGAATATTATTTAAACACTAACCACATTTATTGCTTAAAATCTAAAGCAATAGTTAAATAGTTTGCATTGATCATCGCGATTATCGTTAGTATTTTAGTACCTACTATGCAATTGAATAATTGGTTTTCATGAACAAAAATAAATACCTCAATATTTCTAAGGGCCTAATATATTAGTTACTAGGGCCTAGTCATGGTTATCTACTAGTAGATAACCGTGGTCCTAGTTAGTCTGACTATATTGCAATTTGTTTCCTAAATGTAACACATAGTTGTAAATTTATACTATTTTGTCTTACTTACTATTACCTCGTATTATCAGTTATATATCTCAGGTACATACGCACAAATATTGGTTTGGCTTAGGGCTCATACCCCCATAAATAAGCTGTATCGTAACAGCTAGATCAGTCACCCCCACCTAAATAAAGATATACCCACAAATTTAATAGTTATTTAAAATATAAATATATTTAAATACACCAAATAAAGTTATTTACTTCCTTTTTGTTAGTAATTATTATCGTTATTTTATTTTATTTTTGACAATAAACGTGATATAATAAATTGTAACATTATAACTGGTTTAATAAACTATAATAATTAGTTAAATTCTTAAAAAATACACACTTATTTTAAGAAATGATTGAAATGTTGATAGTTTGTAAATATATTTTGAATACGTTTAAATGTTACATACAGATTGTAAGCAACTGCACAAGCTCCAGGCCATACATGAGATTTCATTATTGCTTGAGAGTAACGAGGATAAAACGGAGAGCAAAGAACACCTTTCCACGCTGATGTATTGTCAACAGAGATATCATTTCCTAAGTTTCCAAATAAATCACCCCTAGAATTTAATACATTTTCACCATAACTCAAATTGTCCTTTTCCTCAAATTCTTCAGCATTGCCTTCGTGTTTTTTCGAATGGGACTAGTAAAACCTGATTTATAGGTAACTCCATTAATGTCTATGTGAGGATTCTTATGCACCCAATAATTTACATTCGTTAAATTAATATTAGAAATGGGTTTGGAATTTTCGTTGAATATAAGGTCACCACCACTTTCTGAAATCAAACATGAAAACTTAGTTCATAGGTATTTACAAAAATTAATATGTTTATATTCTATACATAATCATTGGCGCAAATAGGGGGGAGACTTAGCCCCCCCCCCAAATGTCAGTCAATTTATATATTCCGTGGTACTAAGCAATATGGTTTATATTGAGTCCCCCCAAAAAATTTACTCAATTTGAGCCTATGTACATAAAATATAATACATTCGATATATTGCTATAGGTATTTATAAATAGATACCAATTAAACATTAATAATCAAAATTGTATTGTTTATTATTCAAGAATAAGTATGATATATAGTATTCAAATTTTATTGTATTTAATTTTTACTTTTAATTATATGTTTTTAACTTTTGCATTCCTTATATCATATTTATTTTTTTTCTATTTATACATTCAAAAATGTATTACCTATTATAGGTATTAACAATTCTTATATTAAATGTTAAATAGTTTTATTATTTTTATAAACACAACGCATAATAAGTAGTTTTTTAATTATTTGGTTCTATTTTTGCTTTTAATCATTTTTCTTATATTATATAGGGACTGTTTACATACTACCTGACACCCATAAACCCATTATAGGCCCAAATAGCGTTTGGGATTTGCAGGGGCTAAAGCCTTACTTTGATAGTATCCAATATGCTTAAAACAAAATGTAGTAAATGTTTGGGGGGCTACGGACATTTTTTGGGGGCTTAGCCCCTAAAGTCCCCCCTATTTTCGTCTATGCTGAGACCTAACTAGATAAGATACTACATAAGTTTAAAAAAAGGGTGTCCGGTAAAGTACTACTGATAGTTATCGACAAGTTTATATCATAGATAAAATATCTATTGGATTTTGGAACCAAAAAAAACCGAAATAACCGAAAAAACCTTTACATCAAAATATAGGTTTCGGTTCTTAAAAAAATGTATTTAAGGGTTCCGGTCCGGTTTCGGTCTTAAGATATTCAAAAGGTTTCGGTCCAAAACCGGTCAATTTCGGTACGGTTCCAGTCCCTGATTTAAAGTACCTAACTAGTAAGTTACGCTTTGGTATTACTATTTTCTGTCATAATATATAATATACAATAAACTATATTGGTATCTAAAATTTAAACAAAACTGAGACACATAAACCTATTAAGTGTCTAGTTGAAAGTTACAAATTGATGCAAAAGAAAAATTTCAAAAAATAATTCAAATAAAATCATATAAAAAATTGTTATTACTTATTATACCATTGCTATTGATAATAACTTATTAGTGATAACGTGCAATATTATGAATTAAAGAATAATAATAATTAGTTGTACAATAATATGCCGAATGCCTAAATTCTAGTTGTTCCCAAACCTAGAGAATGATTAATCGTCAACCACTGAGGCGCTGCAAGTCACAGCCTGTGACGTTTGCCGGCGGAGGCTACGGTTATGTACAGTCTCCACAGAGACAATAGCGCATACGCTATTCCCATATTTTATGTGCGTCTATTTGTGTACACATGTAACTTATCGATAACGGCGGCGGCAGTTGCCTCCTGAGAAAGTGGGTAGCCGCCGCCGATACGGGACGCATGAAGGGGCAGCCGTGCTATGTAGACATATTGTAGTAATACAATATATCAGTAGGTATAATAATAATATTAATAATATATATTATTATATTCGCGATTCGCCAGTTGCGCGCGGGAACTGGTCACTGGCCAGTCTCTTACTTATGACTTATGACTTTATGAGCATCACGGTCTTGTTTAAAGACCGATAACGGGCATGGTACACTCCATAGTTCCTTCAATACATAATTTAAATATATATTTTATTTATTTCCCTTTTATAATAGTGTCTATATTTGAAAATATAAACACACAACATTTTATAATTTAAATAATATTAACCATGTATATTCTCTTATTTTCAAGGGAGGCATTGCCGCCACTGGACTGTATATACAAAGGACAAACCCTTATGAACACAATAATTGTTATTGTTACAATGGTTAAATTAATTATGATTTTCCACTTATTAATTCTGGATATTATATTTTTCAAGCAAACACAGATTCAACAATTCAACGGATTTAACATCGCAATATCGTTCAGATTGGTATAGGTACCTATTTGTCTTTATGACAAATCTTTATTTATGGTTAAATCAACAAAGTCCAGAGTCCAAAATTAATAAATAGTTGTATATAAGTTGTATCATTAAGTAGTTGTCCTGCCAAAGATAATTTTTTTTTAAAAATACAATCCATATTTCTACTAATTATAGTACTTGATAGTAGGTACCTCTACCTGATATAACAATATGTAATCAATGGCATCCATTTAAATAATCAAAAGCATAGATATTTGGTTTTTTTTTGTGCCAAAATTCACTTCATACGCGAGACACCCTATTTAAACCTACATGGATTAAAAAATAAGTTAAGAGAATTAATTAATATAACTTTTATTAAATACGGTCTTGTAGTTTATGATTATGATATTAGTTTGTTCAAACATACAATCTCTTTAGCTTTATAATATTACTTTAGATGAACTAAACGATTATGATATGAAACGAAGAGGGGCGTTTGAAATTCAACTCAAAAACCAAGTCAGTAATTGTTATACAATTTGTACAAATTTGTAACCACAATTCCCAAATTTGTACACCCCCCAGTCACCCGTAAAATCCAAAATCGATTTCCGGGCGCCGGCGTTACACCCCACTTTTTGTAGAGTCGACTTTTGGACTCCAAAATGGTACCAACGATTGTTATTCCATTTGTACACATTTGTAATCCTAACTTAAACATTAGTACACCTCCCCGAATGTCCCAAAATTAATTTTAATGATGCTTACTTCCCGCTGCCCCACGGATTTTTCCTATCGAATCCAGACCTATTCAAAATTTAGTAACAATTTAGACATTTAGTATCTAATTGTATCTGACATCAAACAGTTTGTAACCAAACAGTATCCGAGAAAACTCAATTTCCATTTCGGGGGCCTAACATTTTATTAGCTTACAATATCTGATACAAGACTTCTTGACAATCTTCCAATTATATTTGACTTCAAACATATGAAGATTATTTTAGATTCTGAGTGGAACGATGAATGTATTGATTTTACAATGATTTGTGTTTTTTTATTTTTTTTTTTGTGTCTTCGTACACGATAAGTAGTCGAAATAATGCTTCGATTTTCAACTTCAATATCTTGTTCGATTGGAAAGTGAATATCGTTGGTGCTTTGAGGAGGTCAAAATTTAAAATTCCCAGTAATTCTCAAAAGCACCAAGAAAAACAAAAGCAAAATTAAAGGAAAACGGTAATTTTTACGCAAAAACGATTTTTCACAAAATTGAATTTGGTTTTTGGTGTAACTTTAAAACAAATGACCGTAGATACATGAAATTTTCACTGATTGTTTATATTTGCATTTTCTATACACGATAACATTTTCCAAATATTTTGGTTTATTTTGAACTATTTAGGGACATTTTCAGTTTCCAATTTTATTAGTTTTTTTTTTATAAATATCAATAAAAATTTATTAGTTGGTTAAAAGAGCTTGAAAATTTAATAGAAGGCTTCTAGTATATTGTTTCAAAGGCAGATGAAAAATATTAAAAATCCTTATTCACAGTTTTTTTTATAAGCATTTAAAGTTCAAAAATTGACAAAATGTGGAAAAACCACGAAAATTAACAAATTATTTTGAGTTAAGAATTGGTAAAAATTTTTCTTTTTAAATCTAAGATTTTAAAATGTGGTACAAGATTCCTTATAAGATCATCTACCTTTATCAAGAAATAAATGTCTATAAGAAAGTCAAATTAAATTTTTATGAGCGTTTGAAATTTAAATTTTTACAACATTGGATATTCACTGGATTTCTCATGTAGCGATTTCCTTATTTTGTTGTAATTCAAAAACCAATAACTGTAGATACATGAAAATTTCACTGAATGTTTAAATTAGCATTTCCTATACACCATACAATTATGAAAATATTTTGACTCTTTTTGAGCTGTTTACGGACATTTTCAGTTTTCAATTTTTTTAGTTTTTTTTTTCTATAAATATCAATAAAGTTTTATCTGTTATTCCAAAAAGTGTAAAAATTTAATACATGGCTCCTGATATATATTGTTACAATAGCGATTGAAAAATATTCAAAATACATAAGCACAATTTTTTTTATAAGCATTTAAAGATCGAATTTTGACAACATTTATCAAAATTAATCGAAAATTATCAATCATTTTAATTAATAAATTATAAAATGTTCAGTTTTTATAGCTAAGGATTACAAATTTAAAACAAAGGTTCTCATAAATAGTTCTTACTGTAACCAAAAATCTAAAAAATACATAAGCAAATTTTATTTTTATAGTCATTTTAATTTCAAATTTGGACCAAATTACATAATAAAAAACCTAGAATAACTATTTTAGTTATTTTGTGGTGATTGTATAATATTATTCGTGGGTACTTGAAACTTCTAAAGTATACTAATATATATCTATGATAGTATCAAGGTTTGCTGTTGGTGTACCTAATGGATATTGTGATATGATTAATTTGGAATTCATTATAGGTCAATTTTTTTACTACCATAGATAAGTATATATAATTTGTCTTATACCTAGAACTTAGAAGGGACATACCGTCTCCGCTCAGAATCGTTTTTCTTATACAATGATAATATAATATCATTGAATTCAAATGCAATACGATCCATTATACAGTGACCCACTTGTAACCTACTGTACAGCAGAGCGACATCCACTTACCCACCTTTTTTTTTTGTGTCTGTGTTCACGATAATAGTAGTCGAAATAATGCTTCGATTTTCAATTTCTGTATCTTGTTCGATGGGAAAGTGAATATTGTTGGTGCATTGGGGAGGTCAAAATTCCCAATAGCTTTCAAAAGCGAGGGGAAAAACAACATAATACTTAAGGAAAAACGTGAATTTTTACGGAAAATCGGTTTTCCACAAAATTGGTTTTGGTTTTTGGTGTAACTCTTAAACAAATGAAATTTTCACTGGTCGTTTATATTTGCATTTTCCATACACGATAAAATGTTCAAAATATTTTGATTTGTTTTGAACTGTTTAGGAACATTTTCTGTTTCCAATTTTATTAGTCTTTTTTTCTATGAATGTCAATAAAAGTTTATTTGTTTGGTATGAAGCTTGAAAATTTAATACAAGGCCCCTACTATATTGTTACAATGACAATTGAAAAATATTAAAAATCCATAGTCACAGTTTTTATTTATAAGCATTAGTTAATATCAATATTGAAAAATCACGAAAATTAGCAAATTATTTTGAGTCGAAAATTCATAAAAAATGTTCCTTTTAAATCTAAGATTTGAAAATGTATTACAAGATTCCTCATAAGTTTTTCTAAATTTAACAAAAAAAAAAAAATGTTTACAAGCAAATCAAATTAAATTTTTATGAGCGTTTGAAATTCATATTTTTACAATAGTGGATATTCACTCGATTTCTCATGTAGCGATTTTGTTATTTTATTGTTATTTAAAAACGAATCACTGTAGATACATGACAATTTTACTGAATGTATATATTTTCATTTTCTATACAGCATAAAATGTTGAAAATATTTTGACTCTTTTTGGGCTGTTTACTTTTTTTTTTCTATAAATATCAATAAAATTGTATTGTAAAAAAGCGTGAAAATTTAATGCAAGGCTCCTGATATATATAGTTACAATAGTAGTTGAAAAATATATGAGCACAATTTTTTTTATAAGCATTTTAAGTTTGAATTTTGACAAAATTTAATAATTATTTTGTAGTTAAAAATTTATAAAATGTTCAACTTTTATAGCTAAGGATTGAACATTTAAAACAAGGTTTCACGTAAATAGGTAACTATAAAGTACTTTATTTACAATAATATTATCAAATATATAAATATATCATCAGACTGACAGTTTTCGTTCAGCATAAATTATAAAGTATAGGTAATATCAAACATACCTAACTCATAAAAACAGTTTGTAATATAATTATAACAAAAATATTATTAATATTTATTATTTATACATATTTGTACATATAAATTTCATAATATAAGGTTACATTCATATTTAATATTATATTATGTTATGTTCAAAATATACCTAGGTAGGTACCTACATATTAAATATAATTTTGCATAAAAATAAGAAAGATGGTAAAAGTTATAGGTATCTATTAAATTATTATTATATTATTCAGTACCTACATTTAATAACATTCATTTAAAACAATAAACATAATATAGTAGGAATGCAATAAAAGGGGTGTACAAATTTTGGAATTGTGGTTACAAATTTGTACAAATTGTATAACAATAACTGATGTGGTTTTTGAGTTGAATTTCAAACTTGCGGGTGCCAGCGTCACGCACCTGAAGCGAAGTGTAAACTCAGCCAGGAAAATAAAACAGGTAAAATTGGATTTATGACAAGTGAAAAAAAAATCAAGTAACAGTCTACAATTAATATAATATACCAATTATTATTAAACAAAAAATCGTAATTGTATAGTAATTATCATTCTTATTAAATATTATTTAGGTATGCGTATGTGCTAATCAATAGGTAGGTATATAAAACTTAAAAATAAAACTAATAATTCTCCCAACAAATCATAAAAATTGCAATGATCAGTATTACGTTAATATGACATGATAGATTATCATAAATCACATAAGTCATAATAAACAATTAATATAGTAGGTATGTTACATTATTACATAATATTATAATATTTTAAAATTACACTTATGTACATAGGTATACTTAGTCAATGTATGTGTCACATAAGACGGGCAAATGTAAGCTCCCTTAAAAAATTAAATAGTAAATTCCTCTAATAGTAAACTCCCCCAAAAACATTTTTCTACAGTATTACGATTACGTAAACTCCCCTTTTTGATTGAAAAAATAATAAAAAGTTCCCACAATATTAGGCATATGTTTTTGTAATTTTAAAGCAGACATTATTGAGATTATTATAGTAATACCTACAATAGATAGTTTTGTTATGATTATTGGTCATACAACATATAAATATATAGAACGATACAATATAGGTACTCGCGTCCGTGGATAAAATCAAATAGAATATTACAATTATTGCGTTCTCTCAGGCCTCAGCTATGCTTTCCCAAGTTAACCAGTCCGGCCAGGGACATCCATTTTCTAATGCGTAACGGAAACATTCTTGTTGTCTGTTGATGGCCGCCATCATCGTAGTGAGGATGTTCCATTCACACCCGTTGGTGTGAGCATATTTTAAACAATCTATATGGCCGTACTGCGCGGCGCCTTGGCACGTGGTCATATCCCATTGGCAGCCGTTCTTATGAGCATATTCAAGACACTGGAGGTTGCCGAGTTTCGATGCAGCGTAGCACGTTGTAGCGTCCCAAGGGCAGCCGTGTTGGTGGAGGTACTTTAGAAATTCGAGTTGATTGAAACTCGCTGCCGCCGCGGTTGTCGAGACGTCCCAATTGAAGCCTAAGGACCTTAGGTAACGCAAGGACTCAATGCTGCCGAACCTCGCGATCAACGTGCACAAGTTTCGCGGGAACTTGAACCCGTTGATCCAACAATATTCCAGGGTGCTTAAATGGCCGGCGCATGCCGCGGCCAACGCGGAGACATAGCCTCCCGTCTCGCAACCGTTACTATGCACGTACATCAAACATTCAATGTTCCCGGATCGGCAGGCCACCTCGGTCGTGCGCCAGTCCCACGGAATGCCCGCTACATGCGCCTGTTGCAGGCAGTCGAGGTGCCCGTTGAAGGCGGCTATAGTGCACACTTTTGATCCACCATAATTATTTCCTGGTCTCGAGGTCAAGGCCCTCCGTCTATCGCCGAGCGTCATCAGAAAGTTGCAGCATTTCTTTAAGTCGACCCTCAGTCCGAAGCTCTTCGTATTATACCATGTCCTCGTCTCTTCGTTACACGCGAAGTAAGCAAGTTTGCTCAACGTGAACGGCATCGCGTTGCCTCTCGGGGTGTCATTAGGTGCCATAGGTGAATCGCCGTCACCTGCAGTTGCCATCGTTTGATTTGTAAGATTGAACTTGACTTGGCTTACCACGAATCACGGTTATCACCACCTATAACACTTTTAAAAAAAATATGTTAATATATTATTGTTGTATAAAGCGCACTTATATCACTTATTATATAACTAGTTGCAACTCGAGTAAAAGTTTTGCACAAAAATATTGTACAAATTACAGAAAAATATGTACCTATTGACTATATTGAGCAACACAATTATTGTACAATTTTCTTACATAGTATTTTTAATATAATATTTAAAGACTTAAAGTGTAAGTACTAGATGACCAGTGCAAACATTTTGTAATAGCCATTTGAATATTTTGCACAATAATGTTAACAAATAGTTGAACGGACAACGATTGGCTATTTTTGAGCGATGATACTAAAACTATGAAATTGCCTATTAATATGTAGGTACTGTTTTTTAGTCTGGCATAGACGTTTAGAATTTTTATTTTCAGTTATTAAACGATCCAATTCGTGACAAAATACAAAATACATAATGCCCTATTTATAACAATAGGTATATAAATATTAAATACAATATTATGTATTTGTTGATACATAAACGGGTTGAACTCACTTCAAAATAATATATTATATAAAATGATATCACATAAAATAATTATGTTTTGTTGTTCATGTCTTTGTGTAGTACTTGCACAAAAATAAATAAATTACGTCCTTGCCCGGCGGGAGGGAGCTGTATGCATTTTATAAGGAGTATTCGATAGGCAATAACTATAACACGTGTGGTCGCGTATTTCAGTTGTTGGTTGAGTCAGGCGAGTGTAGTAAAAGATAATTTTTGATTTATGTGATCGTCTCCATTAAATGTGTGATCGCTGTTGTCCGTAAAAAATTCGTTACAATATGTACATGCACAATATGTTATTGCTATCAATAAGATATAACTCTGTAAAAATATGAGCTCATCGGATTTATAGGTTATTGTTGATTGTTTAAGACAATTTTAGGATAAGTAAGTGTTTCATTTGCTTAAAGAAAAAACACTTAAGTGAATATTCAACATTTTAGAAATAAAATATGATTAGGTACCCACAGTTTTAATTGAACAACAACAATCGAATTAAATAATTACCTATAGTAAATTGTCAATTAAGGCCTATAAACTTACACCTTATTACAAGATCTAAATTTAGAAGATCTCAGTGAATGGTCTAAATCATTGAACAAATATGACACTTTCAACCACCGTTTAAGTCCTTGAATACAATTAATATGAGCAGGAAAAATATAAAACTGAACTAAAGTCTATTAGATAAATGATATTTTATGGGCTGGGATTTATAGTTTTTATTTAGTATAGTAAGTACTTATTAAATAATACTTATAACTAGTAATTATGAGTAACTGTATTGAATACGTTTTCGTAATATTTAGTCGCTGTAGAGAGTAAACTGACTCACACGTATGCCAAAGACAAACTATCAATATGACTTACAGCGTTTAAAAAAAAAAAAAATTATTTAAATATCCCACTTAATTTTCATTACTAGGTTGCTTGAAATTGCCTTATAAGCGCTTTAACTGCAGGTTTAAGAACTATGCGACTTTTGCAGATTTTTCGAGTTCAATAAATTGCGATATATATATGCATAGATATTTACCGAATTAAAATTAGGATTATCGTACAAAATATTATAATTTTTTCATATAGATACTAAAAAGGTAAAAAATGTTTGAAAACGAGACGAATTTTACATAAAATCCAAATTTGTCAACGAAACACTTGCATAATATTTGTAACAAACGACAACGATCGATTACGGAAAAATAGATATTATTTTCTAACAATCAGTCTCGGTCCATATATTATCGCATGCAGTATAATAATAATATAAAATAAAAATACTCACAAATGTTCGGGTTTTGTTTGTTGGTTCTTCGCCTGCGCAATTACTATGAAACCACAAGGAACGTCTTCGTAAACAACAGTGTTCAGATCTGTGGGAAGAGACCGTTTGTGGACGACACGTTGAATGAAATTACCACCGACGCTGGAACCGCACTGCGCAGTCGCAATGTATTTTTTTGGCTGTATTATGATTTCAACAGGGATCGCTAGCATGCAATCAAGTTCCAAGGAATGCAGCACACACTGTTACTGTGGGTGATGAAAGTGGGGAATGGACAAAAAAAAAGACAGGTGTAGGGTGGTGCCGAAGAAGGATCCACATTTCACAGCAAAGATTTCATGCCCATTAGTTTTATTTTGCACATAGTTATTCAAATATTATATAAATACTTAAGAGGACTCTACTGATGGTTATTTACTATAGGTTCAATTTTTTAGCAAGTCTGCGTATATTATATGGTCAATTAAAAAATGTTCATAACTCACTTAAAAATTATAAAATATCTTAAAAAAATCACATACAAACATAGATAATATTCTTACCTTCAAGCTTCATCAGAGTCGATTCACTCAAATTTTAAACTAACGAAGCGTGAGCGTACATTGCTATGTACAAACTGTAAGACGGAGACAACAATATCTGTAAATGTCCTCTAACAAATCCATTACCTTGCGCAATATCCTTAAAAAGATAAAAACTTTATGTGCTACTTACTATTAGTTATTAGAGACCTAAATGCATTAAATGATAAAATATTTTAACTTCCGGGTATACTATATTTTAGATTCTGAGCAGAGCGATGAATTTATTGTTTTTTGTGTTTTTGTTTGTGTACACGATAAGTAGTCGAAATAATAGTTCGATTTTCAACTTTAGTATCTTGTTCGATAGGAAAGTGAATATTTTTAGTTCATTGGGGAGGTCAACATTTACAACTCTCAATAGTTTTCAAAAGTGCCGGGAAAACAACATAAAAATTAAGGAAAAACGGGAATTTTTACGCAAAATCGATTTTTCCCAAAATTGAATTTGGTTTTTGGTGTAACTTTAAAACAAATGACAGTAGATACATGAAATTTTCACTGGTTGCTTATATTTGCATTTTCTATACACGATAACATTTTCAAAATATTTTGATTTATTTTAATTGTTTTGGGACATTTTCAGTTTCCAATTTTATTAGTTTTTTTTTATGAATATCAATAAAATTTTATTTGTTGAGTAAAAATACTTGAAAATGTAATAGAAGGCTCCTAGTATATTGTTTCAAAGGCAGATGAAAAATATTAAAACTCCTTGGTCACAGTTTTTTTTTTTTATAAGCATTTAAAGTTCAAAAATTGACAAAATATGGAAACATCACGAAAATTAGCAATTTTGAGTTAAAAATTCATAAAAATTTTTCTTTTTTAAATCTAAGATTTTAAAATTGATAAGATTGATAAGATTCCTTATAAGATTATCTACCACTATCAAAAAAAAAAAAATTTTTAAGAATTTTTTCAAAATTGGATATTCACTCGATTTCTCATGTAGAGATTTTGTTATTTTATTTTATTTTTATTCAAAAAAGAATATCTGTAGATACATGAATATGTTACTTAATGTTTATATTTTCGTTCTGTATTCACCATCGAATTTTGAAAATTATTTGCCACTTTTTATATTATTACGATAGCAGTTGAAAAAAATAAAAATACATAAGCACGATTTTTTTTTATAAGCATTTAAAGTTCGAATTTTGACCAAAATTTATCAAATTTAAAATTTAATAATTATTTTGTAGTTAAAAGTTTATGTTATAATGTTCCACTTTTATAGCTAAGGATTGAAAATTTAAATCAAGGTTCCTCGTAAATAGGTTATAATATAATATATATTATATAAATTACTTTTTTGACAATAATATCATCAATTATAGGTACTTAGTAATATCATAGGCTGACTGACCGTTTTCGGTCAGAATCGTTTCTCTTATACAATGATATTATCTCATTGAATTCAAATTTAACACTATACGTTACAGTGACCCACTTGTAGCCTACTGTAAAGCAGAGCAACATCCACTTACCCACCTTTTTTAATTTTAAAGCTAGTTATGACTATTTTAAAGTCATGCAGTTATCACGTCCTAAATACTTTTCGGCTTCAAGATCATACAAATAATTTTTTCATCATAAATTAATAAAATGCTATTACTATAAGTACTTACTACCTATCATAGATAATATATTGTATATTTGTATCTACCGACAATATCACACTATCACAGGCCGCAGGATAATAATGTCGGTAATCGGTAACTACCAAAAGATAATATTTAAATATACAAATACGACAGTAATAGGTACACATAAAAAAAAAACGAAAGAACATAGATAATATTCTCAGCTTCAAGTTTGATAATAAGTCAATTATTGTTAGATATATACATACCTATAATATGTTAGAGAGTGAAAACAATTAATAGTGCTATGACATCGTCATTATAGTTAGATAAATAGCATTACTAACTGCCACAATTTTTTTCTTATAATTTTTATTTATCATGTAAAAAAAAGATAAATATTCTTCTGGCTGTATGCAGTAAGCCTATAACTCTGATAACATAATAATGTTATAACGAAGAAAAATGCACAAGTGCAATTCGGATGAGTCCTTTTTAGTAGTTTGGGAAGCACTTAGTATGCAGCTGTTTCAAAACTACCCTGAAGAAGGACGGAGCTCCTCGTGAGATGCACATTGTACGATGGTACCCTCTTAATGCTTGATCAGGTGGGGTGTGGTGGCGGTGTTGGCGCCGACGAGCTGCTGTTATCGTTATACAGTTTATAGTAGTGTACTGGGGTTGGACGTCGCCATCATGAGGGTTTTTTTTGGTTGAATTCCTTACTAAATCCTACATTTATATATATATAATGTATAATGTACCGTGAAAGAGAGGGATGGAGATAGAGATCGGTATCGTGATTTATGATGTTTCAGCCGGCCGAATTTGTGCGACTACCTGCGATTTACGGACCACGTCTACGACAGGGATTTTTGGGTTAGGTACATTCCTTTATAAACACAAAGAGAAGTAAATAATACACTGCATCCTTATATGGTTGTTCAACAGGCCAAATATGTGTTACAAAACGTGTTCGATCATAGAAGGAAATAACATAATATTATATAAAGCCGTATTTTCAATAGATACACTGCTGTGTTAAAACTCGGTCATAAATACGCACGTTTTGAGGGACCCAAAACTGAACATGAACGTGTTTTATTCACTGTTGGGGAAAAAATAGTAGTCGTACATTACAACGAAATCAAAGTATCAAAATTAACTTGTAATTGTTAAAATTCTTGTAAAAACAAAAATTTGTTGTAACAACTAATTTTTTAAAAGGAACAATTATAAACCTATGCATAAATTCATAATGGGAATACCCGAATACTTCATAATTGTTTTTCATATTTGTTTATTTTCATAACTCCTTAATAGTGTCATTTATTTATACTTTTAACACGCACAATATAAATAAGCAATTTTTTGGCAACACACATAACGGTAGAGAGATATACATTGTGACATTCCGGTGGATTAGAAGTGACTACCTGTCACCTTTGGTGATATAAGGAAACAGAATAATATTATAATAGGTGTCGCGCACCTATGCACTGTTGTATCAAAAACAGGTCATAAATTTGTGCTTTTCGACTTTTCGAGGAACCCGAAAAGAAACATGTTTTTATTCATTGTCAAAAAAAAAAGGTGCTCTGCTGTACAGTAGGTTACAAGTGGGTCACTGTATAATGGATAGTATTAAATTTGAATTCAATGATATAATATCATTGTATAAGAAAAACGATTCTGAGCGGAGACACAGGGCCGTCTTAAGGTTTTACGGGGCCCCGGGCCCAACATATTTCGGGGGCCTTACAATACCTACTAAATTATGGTATATAAATTTTTTAACACATAATGCATATTATTTATTAAATATTACACTTAAAAAAAGTAAAAAGTGAATTTTTGTTTAAATCTCTGTTACTTTATTCTTTATTTTACTTTCAAAATAAACAGTCAAAAAATACTTTCCTATTAATTATAACGTCAAGATATTAATTATTCATACATCAATATGTTTTATAGTTAAAAAATAAATGTAATTCATTAAACAAAAACTAATATAATTTAAAAAAAAACATGATATAAATTTGTCAATTATTAAATACTCTTTAATGGTTTCTTCCTAGCTTTTTCATTCGCAAAGTCTTCAATAACATTTACATAATCTAAACTTGATAGTAGTTCATGTTCAATACTCATTAAAGATAGGGAGTTTAACCGTTTCTGGCTCATTGTACTTCTAAGCTCTTCTTTAATTAAATTTAACTTAGAAAATGAACGTTCCCCACTGCAGTTGGTAATCATCATTGATAAAAAAATTCGGAAAGATATTATTATGTTTGGAAATGTTTCTTCTAGTCTATTTGATTTTAAACATTTGTATGTACTAGAAATACTGAATTCAGAAATATCAAGTTCCGATAGATACGCTTTTAAGTGTATACATTCTAAAATTAATTCATTTTCATTAATATCTACGTGATAAAATTCCGCAAATGTTTTGCAATGGACTTGTACTTCTTTTGTCTCTAAATTTTTTAAATTAGAGAAAAATCCAAACAGTTTATTTATTGTATTGTATGATTTAGCACGAATTTTTAACTGAGTTATTAATGTATCTATTATTGGGAAGTAAGTTTCTATTTTGAATTTTTCACTACCTGAAAACGATGTACTTTTGTTTGTCAGTTCACCGGGTAATGTTAAATGAATACTCCTCTTCTTAGTTCGTTGGTGTAAATCTTTATAGTCAGAATCTGGAAATTTTTCTCTAGCGGAACTTTCATAACTATAAAAGTTATCTCTAATCTCACTTAGAAAACCAGCAAGAGAATCAAATAATTTTGAACCGACGTCAATAGTAAGGTTTAAAATTATGATATTCGGTAAATAATGTAATCTATGTGAATTTGGGGCCCTTAAAATTTCGGGGCCCCGGGCCCGGGCCCTACGGGCCCATGCCTTAAGACGGCACTGCGGAGACAGTATGACAGTTTAGGTATAAGACATATTATATATTTATCTATGGTATTAAAAAAAATTAACCTCTAATAGGTACCTATAATAAATTCTAAATTAATCATATCACAATAT